AGATAAGCTTCATTGACTTGGCAACATGTATAATCCTGGCTGATTTTTTTTTTTTTGGTGGCACTGGGGATTGAACTCAGGGCCTTGCACACAGCTGATGCTTTTTTTTAATGAGTGATCTCAAGTCACTTTTTTTTGTATCTTCCATGATTGTCGTTCTACTTCTTTTAAAAATGGGTCGGCCTAGGGCTGGGGCTGGGGCTCAGTGGTAGAGCACTCGCCTTGCACATGTGAGGCACCACATAAAAATAAATAAAATAGAAGTATTAGTTGTGTTCAACTAAACTACAACTAAAAAATAGAAAAAAAAAAAGAAAGAGTCAGCCTAGCTTGTGGTTAGAATGGAGTGATACTCAGTGCCGAGTATGGGGGTTCAAAGAAAGGGGTGGCTTCCCCTGTTCATCTGCTCAGGCCCCTGTCTAGCCTCTGCCTCAGGCACAGTTACCTGCTTCCTCCCCTGAGATGCCCCTGTCCTCTGTCCTTTCTTCCCTACTTGATCCCCAGGTCAATGGCTTCACTGCCTGCCTCTGTGCCAGGCAGAAGCCCCCAGCTCTCTGCCTTCTGGCTGGATGAGAGGGGGAGGGTGTGCATGTGCAGAAGAGGCCTCCCCAACCTCAGCTTCCCCCCTCGTGCCCGGCACACTCAGCATGTGCCACCACCTCCCCCCAGAAGTTCCGATCACACCAACATCTGGAGAATGGGCCACCAGGGTCTGTCTGCGGCTCAGGGTGGGGATTTGCATGTGAGTACAAATATATATGCACACCCTAGGCCCTCCGCCTCCGCGTTCCTCTGCTGGCCCTTGACACCTGGGCCCTAGACAGGTCCATGCTGAGTGACTGGATTTGCATGCGCGTGTATTTCTGGGCAGGGTATCAGCTGGGGGACTCTAAGAGGAAGTTGTTGAGGGAAACTGGGTATGTGTAGGGGGTGAACAGTCATGTTTCTCTTGACCTGCTCCAACCACCAAATCTTTTTATTTTTTCTTTTAAAGCATTCTTTTTTTTTTCAAACCTTTATTTAATTTCTTTATTTTTATGTGGTGCTGAGGATCAAACCCAGTGCCTCACACATGCTAAGTAAGTGCTCTCCCACTGAGCCACATCCCCAGCCCCTCACGAAATCTTCTTGATCCCTCATGGGCCTGATCCAGAAGGGTTGCTGCTCTGGGAGAGATAAAGCTGGTTAGGCCTACCCCCAGCCCAACGGGATCAGAACTGGAGGGGAAGGATGTGCACTGTGGAAGTCCAGAATGGCAAAGAAGTCTTCCTGGAGAAATGGGTTTTTGGGGGGCTGGGTTTTGAAGTATGAATAGGAGTTGCCCAGGTGAAGAAGAGACAAAAGAGCCTTTTGAGCAGAGATACTTATTGAAGGGAGAGTGAGACGGGCAGGAGCTGATTTGGGCAGGGGCCTTGAATATCAGGCTGAATGTTGAACTTGCTCATGAGGACAGTGTGGACTTACGGAGCTGTGAGCATGATCGGAGCTGTTTTGGGTAGATCCCTCAGGGACCAAAGTGAGTTGGCTCTTGGGTGATTGGGGGGAGTACCAGGATCAATGGGAGCCAGGAGAATTAAACTCATGCATGAACCCAGTGCACCTGTCAGGCCTGGCTCTGGAGAAGGCAGAAAACCCACTGGACCCTGGAGTACAATGACTTAAGGCACAAAGCATTGAAGGAATCCCACCCCCAGACAGGTGCACCTCTGTCCTCCCCTCCACCCTCGAATCATCTCCATCCCTGCCCCCCAGCAGTTCTGATCCCCATGACAGCCAAGGGCTGAGTCTTAAAATGATAAATCAAGCCAGGTACGGTGGCATGTGCCTGTAGTCCCAGTTTCTTAGGAGACTGAGGCAGGAGGTTCACCTTGAGCCCAAGAGTTTGAAGCCAGGCTGAACAACATAATGAGACCTTCTTTCAAAAACTAAAAGAAAATATCAGAGCTCAGTGATCCGTGCCTGGAGTCCCAGTGACCCGGGAGCCTAAGGCAGGGGGATTTCAAGTTCCAGACCAGCTTCAGCAACTTAGCAAGACCCTATCTCAAAAGTAAATTAAAAAAAAAAATTAAAAAGGCCTGGGGATTAAGCTCAACGATAAAGTGCCCCTGAGTTCAATCCCAGTACCAATAAATAAATGAATAAGTAAGAAAGCCACGCCTATCCTGTCTTTGAACAAAGTCTCTCTCGTAGTTCTCAGTGGCTCCTAGATCAGAACCCACGGTCCTGGTCTAGTGGCCCAGCCCTGGAGGTCCCCTCTGCCTCCCTCCAGCCTCAGGCTGTGTCTCATTCCTCTTTAGGCCCTGCACCTGCTGTCCCTTCTGCCTGGATCTCACTTCCTGTCTTTGCTCTAGGGTCTCTGTTCACAGAGACTCCCCAACTTCCTGGCTTTGGGGGATCCTTTGTCATTGAACTTCACCCTAGCCATGGTGTCTGTGTCTTAATGACAAACGGAGAAGGATTTGGAGTCAGGTCTTTCAGGCCCAAGTGGCTCAGGTCCAAGCCCCAGTCTGGCCCCTGCTCTCATGGGACCCCGGGTGTAGGGGGCATTTCCGGAGTCATCTTGGCACTGGAACCTCCGGGCCAGTGCCCCCCTTCAGCCTCCAGGGACCTTCTAGGGTTGGGGCAACACATCCCAGCCGTGGGAACGCGCCTGATTCCGGCCGGGGATTAAAATTAGCCTTGGTGCTTAAATTTAGCAAGTAAAACTGGAGCTGGGGGGGCCCGACTGCCAGCCCCAGCTCTACACAGAGGTAAAGGCCCAGAGACCCGGCTCAGAGGGCAGAGGATGCTGTGTTTCTGGCGTCACTCAGGGGGCCACCCATCTCCAGCTGAAGTGTCCTACCCTTGTGGCTGCTGGATACCCAGGTCAGACTGTGGCCATTCCCAAAGGATCTGAAAAAATTTTTTATCTTTCTTTCTTTTTTTTTTTTCTTGAGATGGGGTCTCACTACCTCACTATGTTGCCCAGGCTGGTCTTGAACCAGGCTCCAGTGATCCTCCTGCTTCAGCCTCCCAATTACCTAGGACTATAGATGTGGACCACTGCACTGGGCCAGAATCTGCTTTTGCTGGGGGAGGGGAACTAGCGATGGAACCCAGGACCTATGCATGCTGGGTAAGCCTCTTCCACCGAGCTACATCCCCAGCCTAGGATCTGAATTTTGTGGGGGAGGTAGAGGAAACACTAGGGATTGAACTCGGGGGTGCTCTACCACGGAGCTACATCCCCAGCCCTTTTAATCATTTTACATTTTGGGTCAGGGTCTCACTACGTTGCTGAGGCTGGCCTTCCTCCTGCTTTATCCTCCCAAGTCGCTGGAATCACAGGTGTGCATCACTGTGTCTAATTGGAATCTGAATTTCTTAAGAGCTCATCACCAGGCCTAGTGGTGGGCACTCAGCATCTTATGCCCGCCGCAGGGGACTCATACTGGCTCCATTCACAGAATAGTCTGAGACCTAGGGAGAGGCCTCCCATACTGAGGGCCCCACCAAGTGTCAGAGGCTGGCCGAGAGCTATGTGCAGGCCTGCGTGACCCTGGGGAGACCACTTGCCTGAAGCCTCCTGTCACAGACACCTGTAACATGGGAGAGGCTGGGAAGTAGAGCAGGGTCACATCGTTAGCAGAAGGGGCTGTCCCCTTGGGAACCTGGGGGCTTAGGGCAGTTGTCTGTCCAGCAGAGTGCGTAACTAATTATGTGTGAGCAACGTGATTCCTTTGTTCTACCAAGTTCTGCATGAGGGTCGCTGGGGCAGGCAGACCCCCTCACACTGTGTCCTTGTGGCCCAACACCTGGGCCTTTCAGGCCAAGAGCTCCATGAGGGAGATCCAGGCTTCTCCTACGTTTCAAAGTAGACAGACCTCAGACCAAGATCACGATCTGAAGACTCCAGGCCAGACGCAGGGGTGCTTTTCCACTGAGTTACACCCAATCCTTTTCAATTTTTATTTTTGAGACAGGGTCTTGCCAAGGTGCTGAGGCTGGCCTCAAACTTGTGAGCCTCCTACCTCAGCCTCCCAAGTAGCCTGAATGAGAGGCATGTGCCACTGCACCTGGCTCTGTTATTCTTTTTTTTTTTTCCACTGAGTTCTAGCCGTTTTATAGTTTTTTTTTTTTTTTTTTTGGTGCTGGGGATTGAACCCAGGGCCTTGGGCTTGAGAGATGTTTTATAGTATTTTAAGACAGGGTCTCACTAAGTTGCTGAGGGCCTGGCTAAGTTGCTAAGGCTGGCCTTGAACTTGTGATTCTCCTGTCTCAGCCTCCCAAGTCACTGGGGTTACAGGTATATGCCACCAGCTCTGTTATTCTCAGAAAATTTTCATGCATGAGGTGCTAGGTTACTCCCCAGCACACACACACACACACACACACACACACACACACACACAGCATACACACACACACACACACACACACAGACAGAGCACACACACATTTTCCTTTAAAAAGAACTAATCATGGAGCTGTGGTTGTGGCTCAGTGGTAGAGCACTTGCTTAGCCTGTGTGAGGCACTGGGTTCCATTATCAGCACCACATATAAATAAATAAACAAAATAAAGGCCCACCAACGTCTAAAAAATATTTTTAAAAAATAATGAATCAAAGGCGAGTGCCTCAGTAATGGCGAGGCCCTAAGCAACTCAGTGAAACCCCATCTCTAAATAAAATACAAAATAGGGCTGGGATGTGGCTCAGTGGTCAAGTGCCCCTGAGTTCAATCTTTGGTACCAAAAAATAAATCAATAAAATAAAAAAGGCTGGGAATGTAGCTCAGTGGTAGAGCACTTGCCTAGCATGAGCAAAGCCCTGGGTTCCCTACCCAGCACCTCAAAAAAAAAAAGCAAACAAATAATATATAAATGAATATGTTTTCTTGTAAATACAGCCCTGGCTCTTGCATGTGGGCATGACGTTGTGAGATTGAATATGAGGCTATCCACTGCGTGGCCCAGGCCCCTCTGAGTGTCTGCTCAGTGTGCACGAAGTCCTGTAGTTCTGCTTTCTCAGTTTCAGTAGCTTGAGTCTAGATTCTATGGTTGTTTGCTACGTGCTGCTGGGTGCTGGCATTGGATGTCCCTCCAGCGTGGCCGGCAGGACCTTTTGGCTATTGCTATTATTCATAATAGCAGCTTGTATGCAGCACCTGCTCTGTGCCAGGCACATCTTACCACCTCACGTGGCTTAACTCATATTATCTCTCAGCAACACCCAGCCACGCACACCACTGCACAATGCATGGCTGGGGAGACGGAGGCCCAGGGAGGTCAGGTTCATCAGTGTGGCATTCTTAACCTCAGTATTAGGACCTCTGTACTTGCTTTTCCACCCTTAGTCGGTCTTCTCCTCATGGGTCTGAATGTGTTTATTGAGCATCTGCTACATTCTGGGGCTGCTCCCAGGCAGAGGGGATGCAGCCTGCCTTAATTTTCCTCCTCATCTTTCCCTTAGCACCTGGCAGGGTCAGGCAGAGGACAGGAGGGAGGCTGGGCTTCCCCTCCCCATTTTCCATCCACCCACTCTGTCCTCTCCCCCTTTCCCCCCAGATCAAGTTCACTCTGCTCAGCCTGGGGCCATGGGGAGGAAAAAAATTCAGATCTCGCGCATTCTGGACCAGAGGAATCGGCAGGTAAGTTCACTGGCTTGGAGTCGTGGCTGAGGGAAAGGCGTTCCTGGAAAGGGGCACAATCTGGGCACAGGCCTGGTGATTTGGGAGAACTGCAAGGGGGTGAGGAGGCCTTAGGGGCCTTGAGTCACCCTCAGGAGTCTGAGATGGAGTATTTGCTCACTTTTATGACCATGTCTTTGTCTGTTCTCCCTAACGACTGGAGCCCGGTCACACAGGGGATGGAGCTGGGCACAGACACACTAACTCAGAGGGCAGCCGGGAGAAAAAGTGTGGGCTCTGTTTGGGAGGCCAAGGAAAGCTTACCAAAGAGGAGGGGCTATTTGGGTTGAATTGCCAAATCAGAGGGAGCAGCTCAACCAGAAGGAGCACCCGGTGCCAGGCCTGGGGCGCACACCTGCACGCCCAGCCACTTGGGAGGCTGAGGCAGGAGGATCGAGAGTTCAATGTCAGCTTGGAAAAAAAGCTTAGCAAGACTCTGTCTCAAAATAAAACAGAAAGGGCTGGAGATGTGGCTCAGTAATAGACAGCCCCTGGCTTCAATCCCAGGGGCGGCGGGTGGGGAAAACCCACCGAAAAGCATGGACTCTCCAAGCATCTTGAAGGACCCATCAGGTCCCTGCCCTCCCTCCGCACTGCTCCACATCCTGATCCTTTCCCACTCTCCCCTGCTCCGGTGGGTCCTGGGTCCAGGTGACTTTCACCAAGCGCAAGTTTGGGCTGATGAAGAAGGCCTATGAGCTGAGCGTGCTCTGTGACTGCGAGATCGCCCTCATCATCTTCAACAGCGCCAACCGCCTCTTCCAGTACGCCAGCACCGACATGGACCGCGTGCTGCTGAAGTACACGGAGTACAGCGAGCCCCACGAGAGCCGCACCAACACCGACATCCTCGAGGTACCTCCGGAGCCCTCTTCCCTGGCCCCAACAAGCCCAGCACACTCTGCCCAGGGACTCTGGGTTTGCACAAAAGACAAGATTGCAATCTGGCCTTGTGGCTGATAAAACCAGCTACGGGGTAATGAAGGACGCCTCCTAGGGGTAGCTGCCTGGACAGCAGAAAGAAAGAGCACTCTGCGCATGGTGTTGCACACCTGTGATTCCAGCTACTTGGAGGCTGAGGTGGGAGGATCATGAGATTAAGGCCAGTCTCAGCAACCTGGTGCACGCCTGTAATCCCAAGGGCTCGGGAGGCTGAGACAGGAGGATGGCAAGTTCAAAGCCAGCCTCAGCGATGGCGAGGCCCTAAGCAACTCAGTGAAACCCCGTCTCTAAATAAAATACAAAATGGGGCTGGGGATGCAGCTCAGTGGTCAAGTGCCCCTGAGTTCATCCCCGGTACCAAAAAATAAATGAATAAAATAAAAAGGGCTGGGAATGTAGCTCAGTGGGAGAGTGCTTGTCTAGCATGCACGAGGTCCTGGGTTCGATTTTGATCTGGGCTGCTGTGTCCTCAGAAGAAAGAGACCACAGCAGCTTTTCCAGGAGTTGGCTCGACCCCACACCTACCAGCCGGGGTAGGCAAGGGGAGCTAAAGCCCCAGGGCTGGAGGGAGCAGCAGGCTGCCTTGCACCTGGGAGTCCCCAGTGTTCCAGGAAGGGGCAAAGCTGGCAAAAAAGAAGCAGGGCCAAGAGTGTGTAGTTCTTTGGCCCCGGGGGAGACCAGCTCGGTTAAGCCCATACTGTCCTCAGAGTTCAATTCCTCACATGTATTAAACCCCACTGCATGTGGGGACAGAATGGAAGTAGCCATGGCGAGTGCAGGACTAAATCAGGACAGCACCAGCAAGCCTGGGTGATCTCGGCTCTGCTGTGTGATCTAGGTGGGTCCTTGACCTCTCTGGGTCCTTCCTGAAACACAGTTGGAACTTACTAAATGGTGACTCCCTGGGGTTTTAATCAATGGGGTTGGGCTGGAGTGGGCCGTATGGGCGTTCTTTCTACCCTCAGAGCTGAGTGGGGAAGGCCTGTCCTCTCTCCATAGAACTATTTTTTCTTCCTTGGGTAGGAGGTAAAGGTCCATCCCATTGTCTCCTGTCCCCATAGACATTGAAGCGGAGGGGTGTGGGCCTTGATGGGCCAGAGCTGGAGACAGACGAGGGGCCTGAGGGACCAGGAGAAAAGCTGCGGCGGCTGGCAGGTGATGGAGGTGACCCAGCCCTGCCCCGGCCCCGGCTCTATGTAAGTAGCCCCCTGCCCCACCGGACACGGGCCCTTCCCCACCCAGGCTCAAGCCGCTGAGGCTGAGATAGAGAAAGGGACCTCGGGCCAGGGAACCTAAAGCTTGAAGCCAGGTCTCTGCCTGGGAAGGGGAGACTTCCTCAAAGAAGGAGCACTGGAGCTGGGGCTTTGAAGGATGAGCAAGAGTTCAAAAGGCAGAGAGTTCCTTCCTTCTTCATTTCTTTGATTCATTACATACCCTCTCTGTGCCAACTCAAGGCTGAGTGAGGGGCCTCAGCTCTGCACCTGGTGGTTGAAGAGAAACTAAGCCAGATGCAGGCTCCTCCCCTGAGGGTTTAGGCCAGCGGAGGGCAGGTGGGGGGATTGAGGAGGGAGCCAGAAGGGGAGGCTTCCTGAAGGTGGAGTGGCCTTGGCACCCACATCCATGCCCTCCTTCCACCCATCCCACCTCTCTGCCCACAGCCAGCAGCACCCACTATGCCCGGCCCGGACATGGTGTATGGGGCCCTGCCCCCACCAGGCTGTGATCCCACTGGGCTTGGGGAAGCCCTACCTGCCCAGAGCCGCCCGTCTCCCTTCCGACCAGCAGCCCCCAAAGCTGGGCCCCCAGGTGAGCATGGGACGTAGGCCCGGAGGGGGGAGTTCCAGGAGGTTGGGGGGCTGGATCTTGGCTCTGGCTGAATGTGTCACCTCTAAGCCTCAGACTTAGCTGATGGCATGGCCCACCCACCCTCTCTCTGGGCGGTCCTCCTTCCCAGGTCTGGCACACCCTCTCTTCTCACCAAGCCACCTCACTAGCAAGACACCACCCCCACTGTACCTGGCAGCAGACGGGCGGAGGCCAGACCTGCCCGGTGGCCTGGCTGGGTCCCGAGGGGGTCTTAGCACCTCGGTGAGTGAGGGAAGGAAGGCAGGGGGTTGATGAGGGCGGGCAGGGTGGCCTGTGTGTGGGCCTCAGTGTCCCCTTCACCTTCTCTCCCCACAGAGAAGCCTCTATGGTGGTCTGCAGAGCCCCAGCACCACCTCGGCCCCGGGACCCCCTCTGAGCAGCTTCCCTTTTCTCCCTGCAGGCCCCCCAGGTACCTCCCCCCACTCCTTGTCTGGGAAATGTCCACACACCTCCCGGCTGTGGGTTCCCCCAGGGGCAACCCGCCCAAACAGAAAACTGGCCTGTGGGGTCAGCCTGGCTTGGGCCACCAGCTCAGAGAGGTCTCCTCTCTCAGGCTACCCCTCCTGCCCACCAGAATATAGCCTGGGAGACCCCCCGCCGCCCCCTGGCTTGCTGCAGCCCCCCACCCTGACTCCTTGGCAGTCCTCAAGAGGGGATGGACCCCCAGCCACCCCCGCCCAGTCCAAGTAAGTACCCCAATCTCTCCTCCAGATTTGGGTTTCCTAGTGGGGCCCTTCCAGGTCCTCCAGAGCCTCTAGACACTGCTGACCCCTGGTGGCTATCCCTTGCACTGCGTCCAGTTCACCGTGGGTGGCTGTTTCGGAGGTCCCAAGAGGGACGGCCACCCCCTTCTTTCCCAGGGTCCTCCTGCCCATCCTCGGCCCACGCCGTGCCACCTCCCTGGCTTCCCTTCCTTCCTCGATGAATCCAGGCTTCCCTTTTCTCTCTCCCTTCCTGCAGCGGCGGCCGCAGCCTGGGCGAGGAGGGTCCCCCCACCCGCGGCGCCTCTCCTCCAGTCCCTGCAGTCAGCATCAAGTCCGAGCGCCTCTCGCCGGCCCCCGGGGGCCCGGGCGACTTTCCCAAGACCTTCCCCTACCCTCTGCTCCTCGCTCGGCCCCTGGCAGAGCCCCTGCGGCCCGGGCCTTCCCTGCGACGGCTGTCTTCCGCGGACAGCTGGCCCCGGTAATGGACCGGAGGGTGGCACTGGCCCAGTTCCCTCGCCCAGCAGGACGAGGGCACGTGGAGACCAAGTCTCCCCTCCGGCCTCCGCAGATGAAATCCAGCAATCACTGGCCGCCTCCGTCGTGGGGGCGTGGAGAGGGACGCTGGGGTTCAGATTCACGTGGAGGATCTCCTCCTGGCCCCTTCCTGTTTGTGATCCACCAATAAAACCGCGTGGTGTCCGTAGAGGAGACTCTTCTGTTTCCACTCAGAATCCCACTCCTCCCCAGCGCCCGGGGGCTTTCCTACCCGCTCCCCAGGGGTCCCATTCCTGCCTTACCGTGGGTTGGGGTGTCTCCTGCAGGAGAGGGAGAATCAAGGGCCCGCGGTGTACCCTCAAGGAAGAGTAGGAGGAGAGCTGGGGACAAGAGCACACGGGAGCCCTGCAGGGGGTGTCACCATCAGGTGACGCCGTGGGTAGCAGATGCCCAGATTCCCAGGCTGAGCTCTTTACCCTCAGCTTCTCCACAGTCATAGGCCAAGGTCTGCTTCTGGGGATGTTGGATTATGGGCTCAGAAAGAAGCTCCAGACAGGGTCGCAATAACCTACAGCAAGAAGACTTTGAGAATCATGAGTATCTGGCTACTGGTGCACGATAGTGTCCTGCTGCCTCCTTAAACTTAAATGAGACAGTGCAGTGGCACACGCTTGTAATCCCAGCAGCTTGGGAGCTGGAGCAGGAGGATCTCAAGTTCAAAGCCAGCCTCAGCAATTTAGCAAGGCCCTAAATAACTCAGTGAGGCTCTGTCTCTAAATAAAATACAAAAAAGGGCTGGGATGTGGCTCAGTGGTTAAGCACCCCTGAGTTCAACCTGCCATACAAAAACAAACAAACAACAACAACAACAACAAAACACTTTTTAAATGGTACTTTCAGTTCCAACATGAGGACCATGTTGGTCCTTCCTCTTGGACCACTTCTCTCTCACTAACCCCAACTCCAACTCTAATCACAAGTTATCTCACCCTTCAAGGCCCAGCTGCATGTCCCCTCCTCCAGGAAGCCTTCCATCCCAAGGGAGAAAAGCATTGTGGAGTGGCCATCACAGATTTGGATAGCAAGATGGAAAACAATGTTGGCTTGGTTGCTGATAAGATCCACCCCCTTCCTATCACTCTGCCAAGATCCAAAGCTGATTAGGCAGCTCACCCAGGATGAGCCCGACAGCTTGACCCTTTCAGCAGCACCCCGTGGATCCCAGGGCCTTGATTCCACCACCTGCACACAGAGACCTACATGGGGGACATAGAGGGAAAGAGTTTGCATAATAGACCTCAAACTTAGACAAAGCGCCCTAAAAGTCAGCACTGGACTTCTTGGGTCCCCAGCCAAGATTTTGAGCCTGGCTCATTTGGGGGGTGAGGAAACAGGGCAAAATAACCTGGCAAGACCTTTTCTGTGAGGTGAGGGCAGGTACGTGAAGGGGATGCGTGTAGAGGGCTGTCCACCTGCTAGACCCCCTCGAGGTCTTGTCCTGTGGGATCATCCCAGTCCCAGCTGTCTGCTGCTCCATTGAGGGGCTTTGAGGCTCATTTCCAGGGAAGGGACATGGCATAGTCAAACTGAGTGAAAGCCCCTCTCCCCCAGGGACCCGGGAGAAGGTGAGTGCGGAAGGTCAGGGGTGGGAGCGGCAGGAGGTGGAGATGGGGTCCATCTGCACTCTCTGGGTGTGTTTGGAGAGGGATGCCCCAGGACTTGGGGTGGGGGGGAAGGGAAGAGAGTTCCATGGGCAACAGGAAGTGTGGCCTGGGTGGAGGGGCTTGCAGATGGAGAGTAGGAGGCTGCCTCAGGCCTTGTAGTGTCCCCCACTTCAGATTCAGGTCCTAAAGCCTCCCCACCTGGTCTCTTCTGTCTCCCTACCCCCAGAGGAGGGCTGACTGTCCCTGTTCCACTGACCAGTGGATTCCAGAGGTCTGGCAGAGCACACAGCACCCTGTTCCCCAGCAGCCCTGTCACCAAGTTCATCTTATCACTGCATGGGTGCCAACAGTCCTCCTGGGTTACCTACCGTTCTGGGAGATCCCCCTTCCCCAACAAGGGCCTTGGTCAGCCACACGGGGAGAACTGCCCACCAATGGCCCTTACCATGTCATAGACAGAGCCTCTCAGAGAACCTGACACAGGACCAGAAAATGATGAGAAGAGAGGCCAATGCAGCAGGTGCGCTGGGGGAAACTGAGGTACAGTGGAAGAGGCTTCTTCCTGGTCTCTGGATCTTACTCCTATTGTAGACAATAAGCTGAGCAAGAAACTGGGCCAGTCCCTGGAGTCAGTGTCCACTGGCTAAGTGCCCAATGTGAGGTTAAGGTGTGGGTTTAGCTGGATGCGGTGGTGCACACCTGTAATTCCAGCGGCTCAGGAGGCTGAGGCAGGAGGATCACAAGTTCAAAGCCAGCTTCAACAATTTAGTGAGGTTTTAAGCAACTCAGTGAGACCCTGTCTCTAAATAAAATACAAAATAGGTCTGGGGATGTGACTCAGTGGTCGAGTGCCCCTGAGTTCAATCCCCGGGACCCCTCACCCCCCCAAAAAAATTATGGGCTTAGCCGGGCATGGTAGTTGCACCCATAGGCCCAGCTGCTTGAGAGTTTAAGGCTAGAGGTTTGCTTGAGCCCAGGAGCTGGAGACCAGCCTGAGCAACACAGCAAGACCCTACCTCAAAGTGGGTTCCTTCTTCCCTCCCTCCCTGTGGGACTAGGGATTTAACCCAGCTGTGCTCTACCTCTGAGCTACATCCTCAGCCCTGTTTTTTGTTTTATTTCGGGACAGGGTCTTGGCAATTTGCCCAGGCTGGCCTGCACCTGCAATCCTCCTGTCTCAGTCGCCCAAGTAGCTGGGATTACAGGCATCCCACAGAGGCTTGTCAAAATGTACTGATTTCTAAAGCTGGAGCCTGTATGGGTGGTGGTGATTCTGCGTCCTCATCCAGGGGAGGATGCACTTTTCCCATCTGCCAGGAGGTGGCGACAGAGAGCGTGCCTTGAATTCAGCACCCTCCTGCCCAAAGTAATAAGTAAAATTTATTTCCTGCATCATGTGAGAGGTGTCTCCCTCAAACCCTGTTACAACAGAGGTACATTATCTGCTCGGCATGAACAAAAAAATGTAAACAGGAATAAATAAATCATTTTGGGGGCCCATGCTACGTTTTCAGGTTCCATGCCTGGGGACACAGGGAGGGCAGTGACACATGTTGTATGTGTGTGTAATTACGTGTGTGTAACCCGAGGAGCCCTAGGCCAGGAGAGGACAGTGGGCAGAGAACCAGGTTCCAGAAATACTTCCAAGCCTAGACTCCTGCTCTGCGCCTGCTGGCTCTGCGGATGTCCCCTTGTGAAGGAGTGGACAGAGGGGGATTGTGGGCAGGACCCCGCCAAGGAGCCATTCTCAAGACACCCCGTGACATTACCCAGGTCCAACATTATCGTGAGGGAGGTGCCAAGTCTTGTGGGAAAGTGGCCCAGGCACAAATGCAGTAGTGGAAGTTGTCACACTGAGAAATCTGAGATGCACTGGCAAGATCCCCACAAATAGAGATGATGGGATTGTCAGTCTGGGCGAGAAGGCCGACCTTAATGAGGGGTAGAGGACACGGGATGTGTAGTGTAGAAATACAGTGTCCAAGGAGGACCCAGAGTGTTGAAGGCTTGGTCCTCAGCCTGTGGCACTATTGAGTAGCAGTGGGACATTTAGGAGGGGAGGTGCTGGGGGGGAGAAAATTAATTCACTAGGAGCCATGCCCCTGAAGGGAATATAGTCAGCCATGATGCCAAGCCCTTAATCCTCACCGAGAGGTGGAGACTGACGGTAGAGCAGCTGGAACACGGTTGGCAAGAACAGGCCTTGGCAATACAGAGCCAGCCATGCCAGGAAGGGCCTGGGGAGCTGAGAGCAGGGCATGGTCACCAGTCACCTGGTGGTGGCCTGGCTTGGCCTGTTGAGCAGTGAGAAAATGGAAGTGGGGACAGACTCGAATGGAGATCACAGGGCTAACTTATCAAGGACACTTTCCAAAACCTGATTAGCATAAATTTGAATCTGTTTCTTTCTTTTATTTTTTTGAGGAGTGGCACTGGGGATTGAACTCAGGGGCACTCCACCTCTGAGCCACACCCCAGCCCTATTTTGTATTTTATTTAGAGACAGGGTCTCCCTGAGTTGCTTAGGGCCTCACTAAGTTGCTGAGGCTGGCTTTGAACTCATGATCCTCCTGCCTCAGTCTCCCAAGCCTCTGGGATTATAGGCATGTGTCACTGTGCCCAGCTTGATTAGCATAAATTTGGACCAATCTGGTTCATACTTTTCCAAAACCTGATTAATGTGCATTTGGACCAACAGTGTTGACCCAAGAGCTTTATAAACCCCTCGACTGGCCCATCCAAGCAGCCACCTCTATTGGTTTCCCGCTCGCCCACTAGAGTTCTTTTTCTTTCTTTCTTTTTACATATTTTTTTAGTTGTAGATGGACACAATAACTTTATTTTATTTATTTATTTTTATGTGGTGCTGAGGATCCAACCCAGTGCCTCACACATGCCAGATGAGCACGCTACCACTGAGCCACGACCCCAGCCCTCTTTTTCTTCTTCACACTTGAACAAATCCTACTTTTCCACTCACTCATCCTTGTCTGTGGATTTCCTCTTTGAATTTGTGAGACAAGAACCCAGAAAGAAATAGGCAGTGAGCTGTTGGGGTCTGTGACAACACTGGAGGGCATAGCCTGCCAGTAAGAGCTACAACCTGCCACTCTCCAGCTTTGCCATCTGTGACCCTTGGAAATGGCAATGACAGACATTCCCTGCTTTGATTAGTTGATAAAACCAAAACAGGCTTTCCTTGGCTGCAGAGGCCTGTAATTTACTCAGACCCCACCTGCCAACAAAGTGGAGAATCTAGTTTCATCTCAAACTCCAATTTCACCAGGCCTCTTATCTTTCTGTGAGTAGTCCTCCTTCACCACATGCTTGTGCCATGATGTACTGGGCCACCATCTGGCCAAAGCAACAGGGCCAAGCAGACATAGACTGACATCTCTAAAACCATGAGACAAAGAAAACCCTCATAAATTGATGGTCTCTGGTCTGTTGTTACAGTGATGGAAA